CGCTACCGGGAGTGGAACTCACGAGCTCCTTCGCTGCCCGCCGGATCGCCTTGCTGCAGGACGGTCTCTTGCCGGTCTGCAGGCAGTGTGGGCAGGGCCGGCACCTTGGGGCGGTAGGCCTGCGCAGTGGTCCGATCCGTCTGGCCAGTTGTGTTCCGTGTCGCCGGGCCCGACAACTACCACACCACAGAGCAGCGGTAGTGCGCGCGGTGTCTCTCGATGCTCTCGTGTCGTGGTTACACCAGACGAGCCTGCGACGGACGTGGTTGGTTGGGTGCGGTCGGCACCGGGCAGGACGGCCTCGAGTCGCGGGGACCAGAGATTGGTTGTGCTGCCACGGCCTTGATTGCGTGCCCTCTGCGATGTCTGCAGCGTCGCGTCAGCAAGTAGTGCTTGCCCCAACGCGGGAAGTTGGTAATCCGTAGAGTGCCCTGCGTGACGAGAGCGGAGCCCAGCAGGCAGCGGGTGGTGCAGTCCCGCTACCCACCGACCACGCGATGCGCAACGACGTGCTGCGCTGCGATGCCATGCGCAGATGGCTACCGGACGTACCTGGGTCCCTTGTACCAGTGACAGAGTGGCGGACGGTCCAATCAGTCGTCAATGGAACTGGACCAGCTCCGCTCTGCTTGCTCCGAGTGGATGGTGTCTGAGTTGGCCGCGATCTTAGTGCTGGCTCGGCTTGGGTCTGCGATGCACAGGAAAACTGGGATGCTAGAGGGCTGCGGCGCGTGGGGTTGTTGCGGCGGAAAGATGGAAGTCGGGTGAAAAGAGGAACGCGCAGGAGAAGCGGGTCTCGCCCATGCTACCCCCCGCCCACCGTGCCCAGCGCGCCATGACAACAAGCTCCGTTGCCAAGAGCAGGCGGCTGGCAGGCTGGTTTTGCCGATACAACCCTTCCCGAGTTTGGCACTCCTCCGCCACGACATCCGCTGAGGCTTTAGGATAAATATTTTCGAATTGTGTTCCTTGACATAGACCGCAGGAAAATAGTAGGACTGTAATGTTCCCAGGTTTAGAATTGTCCCACAACTTACAGGGTACGCTCTTAGGATACAGAACTGCGGATGTGGGGATGAAGCTGCAGATCGCCTTACATCTACTGTACAGCGGCGATTGAGGGCCGATGTGGTTAAACCGACTGTGTGCACTGGTAACCACCTGGGCCTTGACTTTGAGTGCCTACTGGCTCGGTAATTTTGGGAAACGCTGTTCTTCTTTCCTGGTTGTTTTCTTGTTTTGTATTCTAGGTTGTCTTATTCTACTTTTTGTGTGATTGCCCCTTCTGTTTCCCGTCACCGCGTCCTTTCATGTTGTGTTCTATTACCTATGTACCTTGAGAGTGTATCCGTACACTTCGACTTTGGTAAAACATCACGAAATAACAGAGCACACAGTCAATGTAACCGAATTAAGGCATTGTGATCCAACGTACCTACATATACCCCCATTCCATATAGCCCCTAAATCCCCACCCCTCTCGCCGTTGAAGTTGGGCAGGAGGAGATTGCCTTCAAAAATGAAGAGTTGGTGGGAACCGTGTGCGGACTAGTGGTGCTGCAACACAGACGATTGTTACTCCATTTCCTTTGCCGTCAGGAGCGGTGAACGCGCAGCCGAGGTCTGTGGGCCTGGGAACCGAGTCCTTGATTTTTCGGCATAGGCGGGAAGTCTTCACCCAAGAACCTGCTTGTACATGATAACACGAAATTGAATGTGACGATGTTGAGCTCCAGATGCCAAGGATCTCTTGGCATTTGTTTGGGATCAAAGGGTGGTGGGGGAAGGCTGCGGATGATTCGACAATTGCAGTCGCGAGTAAAGATGCCGGCAGGAACAGAAGGACCTACAGGAGCCTAACGGGCCCAGCGGCCCGGGATTGGGCAGAAAGGCTATGGCTGGTTTGGTTTTCTCCGTGTGGTGTTTGGTGTGAAGACCAGGTTCTACGACTCCTTACTGGTGGTAAAGGCTGCCCTTTTTTAGCCAATTACAGCATGTAGCCGTGGGAATAGACTCTCGTTGGGAGAAAATACCAGTTAATTTCCGTATTGGCCGGACAAGCGTCTGGTGAGTAGGGGATCGTCTTCACCTCCCGAGACAGATATGTCATCTGTGATGCTGGCTTCAAGGCGGCAAGGCAAGAATATATCACCCGCTCTGGTACTGTATGTACGTATTGGCCCTGTCGAAGGATACACGTTCTTGATGCCAGCGAGCCCCACCTACATTAGCACGGGGTGCCAATCCCGTCGCAGCCCAACCGTTTCGCCGGACTGGTGGTTGGGCATCGTGGCAGCCATGCCTTTGGGGCGCAGGACGAACAACATAGCCTTGTACAACTCATCAACATACTCCCGGGACGGGGAGTAGAAGGGGTTTTGGGCTCGATCGGCCGGTCTGGATACAGATTGCCTTTGCTTCTTTCGATTCAGAGATACGTTACCCGCACCTGCGTGCTTGAGTTTGAGACAGCATGTGCCTTGAAAAGCTCACCCAGACTTGTCCCAAGTTGAGATACAAGATGGCAGTGACATCTGGACGTCATTTCAGGAGAGGGACATCCGGTCTTGCCATGTCCTCCTCATGATCTGCGCAAGTTGATCACATCCCTGGGCCTGCTGGCCGCATGGCATCCGGGATGCTATTTTGAACCCCTGCTCGCAGCTTCATGACTGCACCACCTGGACGTTGTTCTTTTTCTGCAATCGCAGTCAGATCGAGTGCTGCAGGGGCCAGGCGTGGCACAGATCGCTTCACGTACCTTCCACTTCTCGAGCTCTTCCTGCTTCGACTTGTACTGCTTGACAAGATCGTCCAGAACCTTTTTCAAGCCGTCTGCATTTGTCTGGAGTGCGGGGACTACATCCTTGACAGTCCTCTCCACCAAGACGCCATTGATCATGCGGAAGCACTTGCGGTCCTCCGGAAGGGGCACCAAGGTTTCAAGAACAAGTCTGTTGAAGCGATTAGCGATGAGCGGTGAGAAAGGGGAGCTTGGAGCGGTGTGATGAGAGCCAAGGTCACATTGACGCGTGGGGGGCACGTCTCAGAGAAATGAGATGCCGAGAATAAATCGGCCAAAATCAAACTTGCTCTTACTTGTGCTCTTCGGCTTCTTGCTCGACATCACCAATCTTCTGGGCGATTTGCTGCAGAGTGTTCTTGTAAGTGCTGTATTGCACTTGCAGGTCTAAAGAGCCGGAGAGAAGAGAAAAGTCAGAAGGTGGTTTCGCAATGTTGTCGATGAGTTCTGACCTTGTTGCCTCTTGGCTGGTGCTGCTTGCGAGGCCATGGTTGCGTTCTGAACTGGTGGATTGTCTCAGTGGTGGATTTGGCGTCGTCGAAGTTGAAGAGGCAGATAGCCCCTCCTGGGGAATACCATGCGCCAATCCACTGTTAGGGAAAGGGAACTGAAAGGCGGTCAAAGCTTTCCGCGCATTCCCGCGCTCCTCGAGCATCGTACGTACGGCTTCTTCCTCGCAAGAACTTTTCCGATAACTCAACCCACAACCGGCAAGAGCTACCCACCACAATGCATCCGCTCTTATATACCAAGGACAACGTTGGTGAGCAATTTCCTTTTTTGGGCAAGCGACGTATCGCATCGCATCCCCCCCTAACAATGCTCCGAGTACAGGGTGCCAGGAGGTGATGATGGCGCTGGAGGAATGCCACGCAAAAGGCTTCATGTGGAAAGCGGCCGGCATGTGCAATGACAGCAAGGAAAAGCTCACTGCGTGCCTGCGGGCGGAGCGGGCGAAGATGCAGGATTCGAACCGAAACGGCGTCGAGAACAAACAGGCTCGCATCCGGCAGAAGTGGAAGGACATCGACGAGTCTTCCTAGACCCGGCCCGGGCCGACACGCTTACGCGACCCGATATCCGTGCGATGCCCCGGTTCCCGATCGCCAATTCCTCGATTTGGTAGCACACTCGGGCAATGGCTGGGAAGACAACACAGTGCATCACAAGGATCAGGACACGCGGGCCGTTGTACGATACGTCCAGCAAACTGCGGGCATGTATAACAAGGCTGGGTAGAGCCCAGCGCCCCGAACGGCGCTTGGTTGTACATTATGATATTTTGTGCCGGTTCAGGCTCTTCCCTCGACTCGTCACGCGCAAACCCCCCTCCCTTCACAGAGCACGGCGGAACGCGTCGCCAAACGTAAACAAACCGTACGCCGCAAGCAAGGATAGCATGATGGGGACCGGCTTCCGGAGTCTGATGGCCCGGGGGATCGCCGACCCGCCCAGGACGAGAGATGCGACGAGACTCAGCTCGACACCGTACGGCTCATTGTTGGCGACCCGGTAGCCTCCGAGGCCGTCTGAGTGGCATCCGGGTTAGCACCAGTGCTGGGTCCGCTTCGGGTGCCATGGGAAGATACAATGAGAAAACCATGTGACTTACAGAGCAGACCGACTGCGGTGCCCGCAACAATACTGGGGATGCTCTTTGTCCGCGCGTAGCCAATGGCTCCGCCAGTGGCAGTCAGAGCCGCGAGGACGTATGACGGGATTTCCAGACCCTATACTGGATTCAGTACGGAAGCAACGAGCACCTGCGCTCCATGTTCATACCATTTTGAGATGCAATTGCCGTTCCGTTGCTGTGCTGATGTTGGTGTTGATATGGTATTCTGTACCTTGCTGTTCGATTCTAGAGATCCGCAGCAGCCGGGAACGAGGTGGGGCGTCCACCCATTTCGTCATGCTTGAAGGCACATGTAATTCGTAGCGGAGTTCCCACAAGATATATATATCCTGTCGAACCGACCTAGTGTACGCACATTGACCACCCACAATGATTGAACCGCGCACTTCAGAAACTAGACGAGCCCATCCATCTGATCATTGTCTCGCCGCACCTGGCAGGCTGCCTGGCGCGTGCCCACCCCAGACCGGACCCGGCCCCCCGGGATCCGCAGTTCCCACAACAAGCAGCAAACCCTTCAACCCCGTCCCCGGCCTCTTCTTCAACAGCAGCAACTCGATTGGTCCGCTGGCTCAATGGCAGAGCGTCTGACTACGACTCATTCAACTCATCACGATGATCTGATGGATCGGGTAATCAGGAGGTTCCAGGTTCGACCCCTGGGTGGATCGTTTTTGCAGTCTCATGCCTTGACAACTACTTTTTGTTGTCATGTTTCTCACTCATGTTGTTCCTTACCCGCTTCTCCAAATGCTCGTCCCAACAGGAGACACCAGCGAGAAGAGGGCACTTGGCAAGGTTTTCAGCACATTCCCCTGATGTCAGGCTGCGTTTGATAACCCCCCGCCACAGCTGTTGAACAGGAACGACAAAACCAAGTCTGAAGAAATCCGAGGTTGACAGCGCCACGAGGCGGTGCTCCTCACCTGCCTATCCGTACCTCCCCTAGTTTGTTCCGGCTTGGCATTTGGTGGTGCTGAGAACATGGAAACTTTGAGTTGGTATGTGCTGATCCCTGATCTGGCTTTTGGCAGGTGCAAGTAGTGAGTGGCACCCATCCTTGTTCTGTCTGTCTCGACAAGACGGATCGCAGAGACGAGGAGGCTCCTGGCCATAATAAGATGCAACCATACCAGGGAACATGAATCTGAAGCCTTCAGGAGGCGCAATGCCTGGCTCCCAAGACCCAACCAGCCAACCCGAGCCCTGCTGAAGAGGCTGAGAAAATGTGCCCCTCGCAGAATTTACCAGCGGCGCGGGCAGTTGCGGGGTTTCCAGGTTCATCCATTCCGCCCGCGACTCTGCCCGTCTGCCCAGGAACCAGCGAAGCCGCACAGCCTCAGTTGGGGTTCATGGCACTCGCCAATCATGCGACACCATTGATGGTTCTGCAAGCAGTACGAAGTTTCTCGAACCCTGCGCTGAACCAGGCGAAATCGCTCTCTTCCGATGATGGTCTTTTGACAACAGCACGGCAAGGCTCTCGCTCTTGCTCTGTCTCACAGCTCACTGCCCACGCTTCCGTCCAGCCACTCATTGCCGGCTTTGCGCTGCATGGGCGACTTGACCACCTCCACCGGGCGGGCTTGACCCCCGTTGTGCCTTAAAGCTTAGCGCTCTCCCCTGCGCCTCGCCGCCAATCTTGACCCTGAGGCGCGGCCACTAGGATTGCAGGGGTTGGGGTCATCAAGCGGCAGTTCGCGCGACCGAGACAGCCTTATGTGATTCTCAACCACGCCGTCCATCTTCCCCCGACCGTGCTCAGCGTCCTTTGATTTTCTGGAGCGGCGTCCTTGAATCTGTCCACACCAGGCATTGCCAACCACGATCGCAAGGGCACAGGACGCGCTCCGTACAACGTGTACAACGCGGTTCATTGATCCATCGTTCTATCGAAGCCCCCGCCTCGCGCCGCCGCACCGTACATACATACATACATACCATGACTGGCGCCTAGTTGGTTGTCCTACGGCCCGGATATTGGACGCTGCGCATTGCAACTGCAACTAGCTTCCGACAGCGTCAAGGCAACCCCGCGCGGGCACAATACAAGACACGCACATCGGGCCGCCTCGTCCATCTGCAGACATGTCTTCGGCCTACCCCTTGTACCCGCCGACCATCCCCGATCCTACCACAGCCCGCCGGGATCGGGTCGAGCAGCCCAGTGGTCTCCCGGCTCAGGACGGCCAACAACACCTCTCGCCGACTACCCCCAGCTATCACGGCCACCTATCTGCCTTTTCTCCTCCGCTCGGTAGCAACTCGGCCTCGCCTGCTTTAAACACCCACACGCCGGCCGAATCCATCTCCACCCTCAGTATCCACTACCAGTCGAGCGATTTTAGTGACGGCGACGACCCCTTCTTCGGAATCAACTTCAGCTCGCCTCATGCAGCCTCCCCGTCATTCTTTGGCGACGACAAGCTGCCCCTTGACGAGGGCGAGCCACTCGCCGACCAGCCGGACCTCCAACCCGCGCCTACTCAGACACAGCATGTGCGCCAGGCTCCGGCTTATCTACCGTTGAGCCCCGATAAGAGCCCCTCGTTGACGACAGGATCACCTGCTGTGGAGAAAGGGAGGGAGGGGGTCACGCGCAGCATGTTTCCGGACTTCATCCAAACCTCGGTGGCGCCCCGAGAACTGTCAACATTTGCACCCCCGGCGCTGGAGATCAAGCAAGTCGGCCTCCAGTTCACCCCGAAATCGACCGACAGCGGCCAATCGAGCGACGACGGCCTCGGCCCAGCTACCGCCGCCATGCAATGCCAGAGCCCCCGCGTCACGGTTTCACATTGGGATCGGGAAGACGACAGGGGACCCCATCCGTTTGATGCCGGACAACATCCGGAACCGGCATTCTCGGCGGCCCGCGATGGAGCCGGGCGATGGATCCCGAACCAGGTTACAGGGCAGGGTGGTTTGGACCCTTCGATCCGCTCTGCTGCCGAAGGGACGAGCATGAACGAGCTCGCGGCCGAACGAAAGCTCAGTGATCGGAACCGGCAAGTCAACCACTGGCTGCGACGGTCGATAGACTCCTCACAACAGGATCCGCAGGCCCCGGCGCAGCCCGCCGACATACCAGACGACCAGGACGACAACATCCCCCAGCGGGAATTTTCGCCAGGCAGTGAAACCGAGAATAGATTTGTCCCTGGACAGACTTACTTCGTAGAGAACGGGGGCCAGGTGACGCTTGAGGACCTGAGACTTATGCGACAAGGCCGCAATTTCGAGGACGCGCCTCTCCCGTTTTCCATCTCCCAGCCCCAGTCCGAAGCCTACCAACCTCCCACTTCCCAGGCGGCCATGGAGAAGTTTCAGCGGATGTGCCGGGACAATGATTCCATCCTGTCGCGAGCCGCGACATGGGGGACACGCCGCTACAGCCTGCCTAGCATGGCAGACGCCGGCGTCGAGTCCACTGGCAATTTCCTCAAAAAGCTATCCCTTAGCCGGGGGGATACCCGGCGCCCGAGTATCCTGGAAGGGCTTCGGGGCCTCGTCAGAAAGCCAAGCGTCAACAAAGACAAGCGCGCTCGTGCTGAGCATGACGACGCAAACTCGCTCCAACCCGAGTCGTCGATGGAGCGGAGAGAGTCCCAGGCCAAGTTGGCCCCGCCGAGTCCCAAGCCGGGATGGTCCAGGAAGCAGAGCGTCCCAAGCATCAACACCGCCTTTGTCGGCGTCGCAAACAGGGTCGCATCGATCGGCGCAACCCACGCACGAGCTGGCTCCATCAGCGCGGCCTCCATCACTTCGCCCAAGAGTCCCAACACCCGCACCCTGAGCGTGAGGAAGCCGCTGAACCGTCTTCGAAGCAAGTCGGACACATCCGGCATTGTCGATATGTGGAAGAAGACTGGCGGCCCGCCCGTGTCGAACCTGGGGAGCTCTCGGGTGAATGCGCCCGAGAATGACGACGACGACGACGATGATGACGACGACCTGTACGACGACGGAGACATGCAGGCCGCGTCCAGCAAGCTCATCGACGACATCACACCGAACTCGGCAGGGTTCCAACAGCACATCCTGGAGCTGAACCCTCTCTTGAGCACGGCGAACACTTATCTGGTCGAGCGGATTGCTCACCAGCAGTGCGTCCGGTACAAGCATCTCCTCAGTTGCAGGGTGAAACATCTGCAGGCCGTGGCTGCCAGGAACTGTTCTTGCGGGACCATGTGTATTTCCTTGGGGGGCAGCGCCACCATTTTGGATTCCAAGGGCGAACCGCGCAGCCCCGATCCCCTGTCAGCCGGGTTCGACGGCGACGATGGCGATATCACGCCACTGGAGGGAGCCATCAACCCGGACAGTTTCCCGGACGATATTCCCATGCCGCGGACCAGCGCCTTGCCAGCAGAGTTCGAGTGTCAGCTGTGCTTTACGGCCAAGAAGTTCCAGAAGCCGTCCGACTGGACCAAGCACGTACACGAGGACGTCCAGCCGTTCACCTGCACCTGGGAGCGCTGCAGGGACCCCAAGATCTTCAAGCGAAAAGCCGACTGGGTCCGGCACGAGAACGAGGGCCACCGCCACCTCGAGTGGTGGATCTGCGACGTCGACGACTGCCGCCACGTCTGCTACCGCCGCGACAACTTTTTACAGCATCTCGTCCGCGAACACAAGTTCATTGAGCCCAAGATCAAGACCAAGGCCGCCATCAAACGCGCCGGCGGCAACGACCCGACCTGGGCAAGAGTAGAGCAATGCCACAAGGAAACCCCACAACTGGCCCAGAACGAGCCCTGTCGGTTCTGCGGCAGGGCCTTCCCGTCCTGGAAGAAGCTCACCGTCCACCTGGCCAAACACATGGAGCAGATCAGCCTCCCGATCCTCAAGCTTGTCGCGAGAAAGGACCTCGACGAAGACACCATCATCAGCCCTGTTCAGGGGCCGCCGCCGCGCTCCTTCCCCACTGCCTTCCCGCTCAAGGGCGAGCTCCAGCCCCCCTTCGGGCCATCCCCAACCCTCCCCCCGGGCCAGCACCCGATGGGCTATCCCAACCCGCAGCCCCTCACAAGCATGTACCCGATCCCCCCTCCCCACGGCTACCCGCAGGGCCTGTATAGCCCCGGCGGCTTTGACGATCTCTCGCGTGGTGGCATGCAGCCGATGCCGGCCCAGATCGCCGGCATGCAACACCAACACCACCACCAACCCCATCATCATCATCATCATCATCAACAACAACAACACCACCAACTCCCCGGCCACGGCCACGGCCACACCCACCGCCACAGCCATGGCGGCTTCCAGAGCCTCAACTCCCAGGCCGCCTTCGCCGCCCTGCCCGTCACCGCCCCGGCCGCCGCGTTCCACCCCCTCCCCGTCTCCGCCGCGGGCGCCGCCTACCTGCACGCGACCGGGTACATGGCGATGGCGCCCGAGATGGAGGCGTTCCCGGACCTGGGCGGCGGCGGCCACGCCGGTCTCGATGCGCTGGGCTTGCAGGACCCTGCCGGGGGGGGGATGGGGTATGCGGGTGCGGGTGCAGGTGCAGGTGGCGGTGGCGGTGGCGGTGGTGGTGGCCGTGGGATGGTCGATGTGGACCAGTTCTCGCCGCGCGGGTCGGTGTCGCCGTTTGGGCACTCGCCGCTTCTGTCGCAGGGCGGGGGGTTCTATCACCTTCCGTAGTCGCCGGCCTGTGGGTGCGTCGGTG